CAAGCTCGTCTATGGACGTGACCCGCCAATGATCCGCTCCTATGAACCAAGCGAATCTTGAGTCGTGGTAGTGGCTAAATCCATGGCGGAACGCAAAGGAGCTGCTGGGTCACGTCCGCTACCGGCTCAATCAAGCCCAGACAGTCTACAAGAAGTTCTATGATCGCCGTCACTGCCAAGTGTCAAGGTTGGAGACTGGGTCTGGCAACGTGTTCGCCACCGCACACCCCTCTCTGCCATCAGTGACAAAAGACAAACTCCGGCCACAATACTATGGGCCCTATCAGGTCTCATAGGTGATCAACGTGGTCGCTGTTCGTTCGGAACTCCTAGCCAGGGCCCGCATCCATAACGTCTTTCACATCAGCTTTCTCAAGCAGTTCACTTGCCAGCCGCCAGATCACCTCCACCTCTGCCTCCAATGCATCACGGCGTGGCAATTCCGGTTCCTGAGACGGCGGTCAAGGCTCGTCTGGCACGCGGTGTGCGCCAAGTGCTGATCCAATGGCGCGGTGAACCCCCATCTGTGGCCACCTGGGAGGATGTTGAAGACTTTGTCCAGCGCTATCCAACATTTCAGCCCGCGGATGAGTTGTTCATCCAGGGGGGAGAGATGTCATGTGGGGGAAGTGGTTCACCCATAGGTCTAAGAAGGCAAGGACAGCAAGCCAGGAAGGTGGCTAATCTGCTGTCAATTTGGGCGCACCATTAGCTGGTGCTAATTTAGAAGCATATTAAGAAGTGATTGAGAGAGATTTGAGGAGGAATTAGGCAGCCTAATGGCTATGCAAGCTGAATGGTTCTTGGAGAATAATTAGGAATGAATTAGTCTTCTTCCCTGTCTCTCTTCTTCTCCAACAACATAGGGAGCCTAGGGGTAAAACCCCGCTCCGACTCTACCCGCGGCTACTCTGCGTAGCCAAGGATCACCGTCTCTAGCACCACCACTACCCCCTTACTGGTGTCATATCATATATTAAAAAATCACAGAAATAAGTGTTGCTTGTGACACAAAGAACTATATTATTTCATCCACAAACATTTATTTCTAGTTCCGTAACTCACTTGTAAGATGAGCAGTAGTCAATTGAGAAAGTGCATAAGCTGCAAAAGGTACACATGCATTATCTTAGTAACTCACTTGAGGTAATAAGCAATATAAACTAAGAGGAAATAACAAATTCTTGAAAGGTCAGCTAAAAATTCAGATAAGTTTTCCTGCGTAGTTCGAGATAAAAAAATCACATAAGTTCAGTAACCAGATAACCCATAATAGATGCTGGACTGCGGATAGACTGCCCAAGAGAGGTTTACCTCATCCTGCTCAGTGTCCCCTATGTGACCAGGAAGACGAGACCATCCAACATATCCTATGTGGGTGCATGGTTGCAAGACAAATCTGGTCCCTTGGACTACCGGATTTCTCTCCACTCCCTGATGACAAGGTCCTCCATGTCTGGTGGATGCGTATTCTTGATTTGTTCCCTGACAACTGCAGGAGAGGGCTGAATTCGCTAATTATTTTGGTCGCCTGGTCCTTGTGGAAGCACCATAATGATATTGTTATGTGGCTGCTAGGATTGAGAGGGAGAGGCGGCGACGGAGCTACAGTACCCACGGGTACTGTTCACGCGAGGGAGAGAGGGCAGGAACGGCTGGCTCCTAGGAGAAGCCAGCAACTTAATTGTTGCTTCTTGCCTAACTATAACTGATACAGGGTTCTCTTTTATAGAGATGATTGACTTGACCCCTAAGGAAATATCCTAACCGAATCAATCTAACATATATCTTTCCTAACAAACCAAACCACATATCTCTTTCCTAACAAACCAAACAATCTAATCTATCTGCTCATTCACAGCACTACTGATGCAGCGTCGCTCTGATACCACATGGGCCCTCGGGCCGGCTCTACTGTTATAACACTACTCCACCCCTCAAGACAGCTTTCGCCCTCGAGCCTGTGGCGATTGTCGGAGCGGAAGACCTTGCGGTCCGAGAGAAGATCGCCATGGCGAGACTGCTTCCTCCTCGAGGTGCCAAACTTGGTTGCTCCATCCGACCGTGTGTGGAATCGAATCCGCCCAGATCGAATCCATAGGCGCTTTGACGTGGAGTCGATGGTGCCCTCCACGAGCAACCACCCCGCTATGGGTGTGCAAAGCGGGGTTGTGCCGAGGCGCACTCAAGCGACCGATGGAGCTTTGAAGGCTTCTTCTTGAGCCGGGCGGAGAATAAGCTGATGCAAACAACCACGGTCCCGCCGAGGGATCCGTGATGTGGCTCGGAGAGGCGGCGACGAAGGCACCATGTCCGCCAATGTTTGCAGATGGATGATCGCCGCATTGGTGACACTAGTCTTTGGCGGGGTTGTTGGCGGCCGGTGATGAGACTGTCGGAGTTATGGCAGCCGAGGCCTTCATTGGTGATGTGGCGAACTCCAACGGGGCCTGTGCGGCGGCCGAGGGCGCCGCGCTCGTGCTGTCCATCGAGGGTGACGCGGCGGAGAGCGTCGGCATCAGGCTGCCACCGTGGAACAGGGGACCGTCCACCCCGCCAGAAGAACACCGAGCCGGGCGCCGCCAGCGCCAAGACGATTTCAATGGCGGAAGCGGCGGTAGGTGCGGCTGGGTACTGAGCGTCGTGTAGATGGGTTTCGATGAACCGGCGATCCAAGCCGGAAGCGGTGACAGCGACGGCGGGAACTGGATCTGCTGGATGGGAACGCCCTGGGACGGCGGTGGCACGGCTGGGAACGAGGTCGTCGCAGTCCCGTCGTAGGGCATCCCATACTGGTACGAGATGACCGGCACCGTGGTCGCGGCGAGGAAGGCCCTGATGCCCGCCACGGCCTGCCGTAATTCCAGAATTGCGGCCGTCATCTGCTCCGGGGTGAGGACGAGGGCGGCGGGAGACGACGGTCTTTGGGGGAGTAGCGCGATCGCTTTCGAGGACGCCAATACGCCCAATGCCGCTGGCGCTGATGATGCAAAAGCAAATAACCGACGAAGACGCTGGTGGCAGCAGGTGGACATGATCGAACCAGAGATCTCTGATACCAGATTGTTATGTGGCTGCTAGGATTGAGAGGGAGAGGCGGCGATGGAGCTACAGTGCCCGCGGGTACTGTTCACACGAGGGAGAGAGGGCAGGAACGGCTGGCTCCCAGGGGAAGCCAGCAACTTAATTGTTGCTTCTTGCCTGACTATAACTGATACAGGGTTCTCTTTTATAGAGATGACTGACTAGATCCCTAAGAAAATATCCTAACTAAATCAATCTAACATATATATTTTCTAACAAACCAAACCACATATCTCTTTCCTAACGAACCAAACAATCTAATCTAAACTGTTCACGCGCTACAATACCGTGTCGCTACAGTACCACATGGGCCCCTGGGCCGGCTCTACTTGCCATAACAGATTTAGAGGTCGCTGCTAGATAATATGGTGGCTTGTGTTTAGCTGGGTTGTTTTTTGTTCTTTTCTTTTCAGGCGATTCTTGTGGTGTTTTGGCTCCTTTGGGGGCTTTGAGTGTGTGTGTGTTTTTTGGGTTTGTTGTACTTTTCTAAGCTCTTCTTCTTAATGCAATGATACACAGCTCTCCTGTGTATTCGAGAAAAAAAAAAGATCAAGATAAGGTGTAAGCTTGTATGATGAGTGTGATTCAATTTAGCCTTCAAACATGAAAGCCCAATGAAAGTGATATACTATTGGACAGTAACCTGATGCCCCTATGGCCACTATAATGGCGTCTGCCATTTAGCATATGTATTACTCCAGGGACCAGAGTGATATAGTATGGATACTTAAAACATACTATAGCAGCCTCCAGTCTGGCATATCTTCTAAAAATATTCAGATGGCTAGCATATAAAATTCAAAACAAATGACACAAGGACCAACCAAAACTCCACCTGCAATGTTTTCACCTGTTCCAACCCATTCAGACATAGAAATGTCTGCAGCAGGCATTTCACATTGAAATTTAGAGTGCTGCTTTAGGTGGCCTTGACTTCTTCGTTAGTTATGACGGCTTACATGACAAGTGAACTGGAAAACAGATAAAGGGAGGCTGTTGAAAAAGGAGTGACAATGCATGCAAGAACAGAAAGTGACCAACAAACAAAAAGGATATGCATATTTTGTCACTTGTACTAACTGCTAATTGTAGATGAAACTTCAAAGATAAATTGCCAGTTCAATTGTAAATCCACAATAAAACCATGAGGGCTAACCTCCTCAGATTGGTCTAAAATATAACTCCTCAGATCAAAATGGCTATAGAATGAAGTACTAAAAATGAAATGATCTGATTGTCGTCTAGTTATTGATACAAGCGCAATAAAAATTAACTATACAAAAGAAATAAAGTAAACAGGTAACCTTAAAGTTGACATTCTGAATGCCAACATGGAACCATAATACTCCAAGAAGGTCATCTATGCAGCGCTAGCCATGAAGTCTCTGTTTCATGAAAACAATCATTTCCATTGTTTATCATATCACCTGATCATATCACAACTGAAAGTGTTGTACGCATCCTCTATGTCATCTTCATCACTCTGTGCTATGCCTTGAAAGCTCCCATTGGTTTTTTTCTCATGCTGAACAGTCTCCGCTGCTTTAGATTCAGTATCAACAATTTATGATTCACACAGTGCTCAAGTTCAGTAGAAAAGCACTGTTTTATTGCAGGAAGCAAGAAAGTGCAAAGAAAGTGGGGGAAATCCGGATGGTGCAATAGCACATCATTTTGCCACTAACCCCATTGTAAACTTTCGGTGGCAGAAACTAGCAACTTAAGCTTTTCATGCTAGATGCAGAGCATTGGAAAGGCAGTCTCATTTAGACCATAGAGACAGGAGTTCCATGTGGAGTCAAAAGTTTATTAAGAATTTGCCACTATTCATTGGAGAGATGCCTTAAATAATTCAATGCAAGAAGAGAACAAGACTGTCGCCATGCTCTGACAATTGGGGATTCTCCTCCCATAACTCACCACCCTGCTTCATGGACCTTGGCCTCTTTGGCTGGCTCTTCATCTTCGGTCCTGCAAGTACATTAACTACAGCAACAATAAAACAAGGGAAAGCACGCTAAGACAACAAAAATAGAGGGAAGGAGGTGGTGCTAAATTGGTTTGGGCATGGCTTCATACCTCAAGCGGTGGTGGAAGGCATGGGCTTGCACTTTCCAATTTTCCATGAGGATGGCAGTGGGAGAAGCAGGGGAAAGATCCTCGAGGTAGCTTGCCAGGCGAATCTTTAGTTGACGAGAATGTAACAAGTTGGCAAAAGAAGAATGTAAATTGTTTAGAATTTGATTGCCCATTAGCTATATACAAATTCCTTGCAAGGGTGTCTCAGTGAAACTAATAAACACCATAAGAGTCTTTGATGTACATTAAAACCTTCAATCACAATTTCAAGTTGGCTTAAACCAAAATTGATCCTGGTATTTAAAGAATTTAGTTGCATGTACAAAGCTCACATGACTATGTTCCTAGATTATCATGGATAATTTATCAGAAAAAAAAGATTAAGTTTGGCAGCTGTCCCAAACTAAGGAGTGGTGAAATGTGTTGTGGAAACTTATGAGCAATATATCTTCTTGAAAATTTTGAGACCAGATAAAAAACAACACTTTTCAACTCCTAAAACATGAATGCAAGGAAATAGTGGAGTTTGTAGTTAGTAAAAAAAAGATCCTAAAAGATCAATAACAGCAACAAAACGTAATTACAAGACTCATCTATTCAAGTTGGCATCATTCATCATTTAATATTTGAATAGGATTACAATGATATTGCTTTCCAAGTGTATCACTAAAAACTTTCATGGTAGGAAATAACCAATCGTCATGTTCAAAAGTCTAGATTTTTAATGATACAGATAAAGAATAACAAACAGATGAAGTTCATTTACCTGAGTTTTCAAAGCCGACCATGTTGAAAGGCAAAATATTAAAGTAGATTCAGGCTACTGAGAACAGAAAACTAAAATGTATGTCTATAACCCTTTAGTCTCAAACTCGAACATTTCAAGAGTGAAAATGAAAATGCAGGGGACCATGAAAAAGGATGTAAATCTTGAACACAATCTAATGTACACAGAAGATAAACTTTACAAAATTCCTTTTCTCTAGTGTCCATGGTTCAGCATAGACCGCTTTTTTCTGTTCTTCCAAAACTCATCTTTCTTTTCCTTCCTAGGTTTTAAGCCAGACTTGCCTTTAATCATCCCTTGTATGGCACTCTTATCTTTTATGTTCTTTCTTGCAGCCTTCACATCCAAAGTATTCAACAACTTTCTATATGACCTAGGATCAGGTATTTTCCCACTTCGAACCATCTGCTTGTGGTAATAGAACGCCCTTGAGAAGTCACGAACACGGGCATATGCATATATCATTGTACAATATGTAATGGAGTCTGGTTTTAGCTCCAAAGCTGCCATCTCTTTCAGGAGTTGGGGCAATTTGTAATGCTGCCCGCCTCTTCCATAAGCATTCATCAAAATGTTATATGTCATGACAGTAGGCTTTAAGCCAATCTTTCCAAACTCATATATAACATCCCTCGCCTGAAGATACAGCCCATGTTTTGCTAAACAATCGAGTACCACATGGAATATGACTCGTGTTCCACCAACCTTTTCATCAATCATAGTTTTCCATGTCTCCATTAGCATCTCTGTGTCACCTGCTCTCCTAAGAGTGTCGAGTAAAGCTGTATATGTTTCTAAGGTAGGTTTAAGTCCTTCTCTTTTCATATCCACATATATGGTATGAGCTTTTTCATGCAATCCATTAACTGCATATGCAGAAAGTAGTGCATTATATGAAGAAGATAATGGCTTAATACCATCCCTCTTCATCCTCAAGAAAGCATCTTCAGCCTTTCCACTCATTTTCTTCTGGCGCCCATAGGCGCTTATGAGACAATTATATGATCCAGCACTCGGTCTTATACCTAAATCTTGCATCTCGAGAAGTAAGGATTCAACAACTTCTGTTTGCAATCTTCTACTGTAAGCATCCATTAGGATATTATAAGTTGTGGTTGTTGCTTGCAAACCTTTTGCTTTCATCTCAACAAAGAGCCCCTCAGCTTCTTCAATTTGGTTGGATTTGCAGTATGCCTTCATCAGAGTTTCATATATGCTTGTGGTTGATGCAATACCTCTCTTCTCCATTTCTGACTGGATGATTAGAGCTTCCTTTTCTAGCCCATCAAAACAAAAGATATTTATCAAAGCCGCACCAACATCAAAGCTCCAGTTGACTCCTTTTCTGTTCATCCGTTGGAAAAATTCCCATGCATCCTTGGCAGATGCCTTACTCTTCTTCATAATATTAAGCATGATTGCGGATGTCCTGTGATCAGGTTGAACATTGTTCTTTTCCATTAGCTCAAAAATTTCCCAAGCACCATCATATCTGAAGAAAGGTAGAAACAGGTTCATCATAATGAATATTAAATGTTTTCGAGAAAAAATAATGAATATTAAGTCACAAATACAAAGAATAAATGTGCCACATTTTCTACCACTCCTATTCATCATTAGTTACAAATGTCCCTACTTCATCTGAGGAGCCCTTGCATCATTATAAACTAGTCACTAAACTATGTTTCTGCTAGCAGTTTGCTATCTCCAGTGATATGTAACTCCATATACATTATTAATATTCTAAACAAATGGAAATGGTGATACATTGAATTAACATAATCTGATAATTAGTTAACAACACCCATCTAAACTTCATTATCATGTTTTTCAAAGACAAGCAAAAAAAAGGGGCAAACCCAGTGCCGGAGGCTCCCACATGAGTGGGGTCTGGGGAAGGGAAAAACCGAGGCAAGCCTTCCCCCCGCAAATCTGCAGAGAGACTGCTTCGAACCCACGACCTAGTGACTTAGTGAGACAGCTCTCACCACTGCACCAGGCCAAGCAATGGACACGAATTTACCAGCAGTTACTAACACAAAGTTCTAGAAATAGTCTAGATTCTTACTATAAAAACAGCCCAAAAACACCTAAAATATTGCTCTTCCTTAGTGGACTTGACAAGCAAGTGGAAGGCAGTTTTGGGTCATGTACACAGTGAGGGCAAAAGGATATTAGGACGTTCTAGCATCGACATTCTTTCCTCTTATACACGATAGTAAAGAATTGTCAAGGTCCAGTTCTTAACTTCAAATTAAGCATACGCCTCTTAGTTGTTGTACTAATCTTCTTTTGTCTTGTGTATGCCTTCTCAGATCAAACCTTGATAATCTGAGCTAACCTATTCTTTTTTCTCAAAGAGGCAGGAGAGCCGAGCATCTTTATATCATAGAGAGAATGGAGCTTTATCTATCAAGCTCTGGCATGAAAAATATTTCTGCCCAATTTTTTCACAACTTCTCTTCCTTTCAAACTTTCAACTTAATACACAAATTCGTCCTGAACTCCCAAAACATTTCAGAAAGTTGACCACAGTTGTCTAATTAGAATCTCATACACTCAGTCTGGTAATATGAACTAATTAAAAGGACATTAGACATCTGTAGAGTATAGAGATAGTCCTATTTATTACCTAATCAAAATTTCCTTCTCCCACATTTCATAGTACTAGTTAGCCATCACATGGTTCCAAAATAGGCCCACAAATCTTCAACCAAGTGATTATCTAATCTACAGAACATGTGCCAAGAAACTTAAACTCCCAATTTTCCACCATGCAGTGGTATTCACGATGAGAAACCCACTAAATTTTGCACTATCAGTCCCTGACACCAAACAAGACAATGCTCACCTCCTGCAGTAGGCAACGGCAGATATCGCGGCATTATAAAGAACTGCCTCGCGGAAATCCCTCTCCAAGGGTAACCTTGCCACAATCTCCAAGACCACATCAGCCATGTCGCACCGTCCAAGCGAAACAAAAGCCGTCAACCACGCCATTGGCGATACAGGCACCGGCTGCTTCTCCCGCAGCCACTGGAACAGGCGTGCACAGCCCAACGCCAGCCCCTCTTCAGACATCCTCCGCATCAATTCCACGCACTCCTCCTCGCTGAGTTTCCCGTGGTTGTATCCAGCCATGAACTCAGCGAATCCTAGTTCCCACGCCGCAGCCGGGCACCTTGCAAAGGCTAGGATTTCTTCCATGGCTGCCGTGGTGGTGCAAACACCGCTACTACCCTTCTTGGCTTCGCAAGAAGGAGGTCGGGTCCAACCACTCGCATTCTTCATCCTCGTCCTCCTCCTCTTCTTGGTGTGGTTCCTCGCGCTGCGCTCGAAAGGGGCTGACAGGCGGGTCCCACTGGCCCACCTCCTCACCACCTCTCTCGTCTTCATCCTCCGAGGCGCCGCCACGGGTCGGACCCAACCAGCCGCCCTCGTCATCCGTATCCTCCCGGGTGGCATGTGTGGCAGGTCCGCCCCAGAATCCCACCGCCTCATCGCCATAGTCGTTGCCTTCGCTTCCTTGTTCCTCGATGAAACGATGCGGAGGGTAAGCAGCTGGGCGACTTCGAGGCCACCAGGTTTGGAATTGGGAATGGGAATGGAGGAAGCATTTGGAGGACGGGGAGGATTTGAGGGGGCAGCCAAGGTGGAGGGTGCGGAGACTGGGGCAGGCGAAGGAGAAGGAAGGTAGCTGCTGGGGCAACAGCGCCATCTCCGGCGAGTGGCAAACACGGTGGCGGCAAGTCACGGGAGAACACAGAAGGCGCCGCTCGTGGACGCGGATGCCACGGCGGTGTTGCTCACGCGCGCGTCGAGGAGCGGCGGAGAGTGTGCAGGGGAGGACGTAGGGGGCGTTTGGTAGAGCTTCTGGGACAGCTCCGGGAACTATTTTTCGGCTCTTCCAACCAAACGCTCTTTTCCAAACTGCTCCGTCTGGGAAGCTCCGCAAAAACCGGTGACTGGAGCTCTTTTGCTCAGACGGAGCTGGAAATATGTAGCTTCGCGCGGCTCTCGCTCACTCGCGTGGCCCCACCACACTGCCGTGGTCCAGATTGCCCCGAGACAGGGATGACCGCCGGCGCAGGGAGGGGCGGAGCTGGGCGGACACAGGCGCGTGGAGGAAACGGGCCGGGCAGATGCCGCCGCCGGACCTTGCCTGCGGGGAGGAGACGGGCGGATGCCGGTGCATGGAGGAGCTGGAGGGAGCTTGCCTCAGTTGCCTGCGTGGGGCAGAGTTTGCCTGCACGGACGAGACGGACGGACGCCGGTGCGTGGAGGAGCTGGGCGGAGCTTTGCCTACGCGGCTACGCGGAGGAGACGGGCGGACGTCGACGCGTGAAGAAGTCAAAAGGGTAGAAGATAAGGTGGAGCTGTGCGGTGGAGATATTTTACAGAGTATAAATAGAAATAGGAGTATAATAAATAGAAATAGAAAGTAAAAAAAAGAGAGAAAAGAAAGTAAGGGTATTAAAGACATGGTCCAAAAGAACTACTTCAGCTCCTCGAATGAAGAACTACTTCAGTTCATCGAATGAATCTGCTCCATAGATAAAGCCATAACTAAAATTGTTTTAGCCGGAGCCAAAGCTCTACCAAATAGGCCCCGTAGATGCGAGGATAGGGGGGCGGGGCGCGGACGGCAGCGGAGGATGTCTAGTTGGGGGTCGTTTGGTATGGATTCTTGGATGGCTTGACGAGCCGTTTTATGGCTCCGCCAACCAAACGTAGCGCCAGCAAATGGCTCCGTCCGAGAAGTCCCGAAAAGTGCGCTGACTGGAGCTGTTTTCCGCAATCGCCCGGCTCCCTCAACCTCCTGTGGACCCAGTATGCACCCATGGTCCAGTTTGTTCCCACACAGCAGTGGCAGCGTGGAGAAGGACCTCGAGCCGTGCAGTAACGCCATGTGAGGGAGGACTAAGGCGAAGAGGCTTGGTGGGGTGGAGCAGAGGGTGGCGGATTTGAGCTGGAGACCGGCACCGAGGCGCTAGCCCTCGCGGTTGCGGGCACACGCGACGCCACCTTAGCTCAGCTCCTCGCCTTCCTTGCTGCTCGGATTCCACCGCCCATGCGGCCACCGCAAACTATAGAGTAAGGAGGAGAGAGAAATAGAGATAAGACTCAACCGCACAAGGCCAAACGTGGAGATTTAGAAAGAAAAGAAAAGAAAAAAAGAAAAAAAAGCGTACAATGGACATTTTATCTATTTGGACTACTAGGCGATGTTTTTCTAAACGGTAAACGGTCTTTAAACGACCGTTCTTCGTTTAATGTTTAGGCTGTTTACACGGTGTTTAAACGAAGTTAAACAGTCTAAATAGTTTTGTACTTTTAAAAAAAATACATATAATTATAAATGTGCATGTAAAAAATCAAGTATTCTAGCATTTATACATATTTATCCGAGAATAAAAATCAATTATTTTGGTATGTATATATATTTATGTATGTAAAAAGAACCAAATATAGATATTTATGCATGTAACATATCAAGTGTACACATTTATAAATATAATAAACTTAAGTATACAAATTTATCTATACAAAACCGAACTAGATTTACCTCGTGTTCGCCTAAACAGCCGTTTAAACAGCTGGTTAGCCCGTTTAATGCTGTTTATCTCTGTTCCGTTTAGGCCGTTTAAACCATTTTTCCTATTTTTTGACCGTTTAAACGATCAACCGTTTAATTTTCGTTTACCCCAAAACAAAACAGTTTACAACCGTTTACCGTTTACTGGCCGTTTAATCGGCCGTTTAGACCGTTTAGGCGAACACTGCTACTAGGTGAATCTTTTTTGCCAAACGGTCCACAAAAACTATATCAACTCCTCGAGTGAATCTGCTCCATACGTGAAGCCACAACTAAAACTGTTTTGGCTGGAGCCAGAGCTCTATCAAATGGGCCCTTGGTCAAAGAGAGCTCGGAGCGGCTACCCATGGATGCCTGCAACTCAATCCCCCGTGGACAGAGATGGTTGGGGCGTGTTTGATAAGGTGGCTGAGGCCGGCTTGGTTCAGGGACAGGTGTGAGTCAGCCAAGTAAAGCTGCACAAAATACCTATAACAAAAATGTGCTCAACTATAGTAAAAAAAGAGAGTGGGTGAGGGAGATGGAGGAACTATACATCTCAACAGTCAACCCCCTCAATTGCCATGTAGCCCAACATGTAGTGGAACTACATGTAATAGTTATTGGCTAGGTAGTTTCTAAGCCAAATGTCCCTATGGTTGTCACTCATGCCAATAAACCTCCTGCCTTAGGTCTTGTTGTCCAGCAGGTAGGTGTAGACCACTATGAGGGCCTCCTAAAAAAGCCAAGAGTCTCTATAACAGCAAGGTAGAGATTAGCATCAACATGGGCTAGACTAGTTTCCCTAAGAGCATTAGCAACATTGTTCACTGCATCTGACATGTTGGTGAGCAAGAGCATCTCATCCTCAGTGAATGTGCATCTCTCCCTCTTCCCACCAACCCTAGAAGTGGCCAACAGCTCTGTGGCCTTGCTGCCCTCACCAACTTCAGTGTTGATTTTCTCAGTGAAGAGCATCTCATCCTTAGTGAAGAGAAAATCAACATGTTTACCGTGTTTACATGTTTACCGTGTTTACCGGTGGCCATTGCATGACCAAAGATGGCCTCCATCTCTAGGTAGAACCTAATAGGATAGTTAAGGAACTCATCATCTTTAGGGTGGTCCTGTAGGAGGGGATACAATTTAGGTAACTGACAGAAAGACAAAGAAAAGGCAAAGATGAAGAAAGCATCTTAGTTAATTTACCTTGCAGTGCCCAAGGTAGTGCTCCCCCTCTAGCATGATTGCATTCACATCACTGTCCTATAAGGCCACACTAAGATCTTTCAGCTTACAGATCCTAGCCCACTTCTGCCTCCACTTCCTCAAGTGGTTGTACACCTGAGTTGGGCTAACAGCCTCCCTAGTGTACTCCTTATGGTGCTTGGCCATTAAGTTCACATCCTTGTCCTTAAAAACCTTGTCAGGCCTACTGACATCACTCACTAGCTGGATCATCCTCCTAAGCACAAAACCAGAGGTGTTGTTGTTCCACCTCATGGGCCCTAGAACAGCTGGTGGTGCAGCAGCACCAGCAACCTCATTCAAGAGGCCAGCAGCAGCCACAAACCCTCCCTCAGCACCAACCAGATCAACAAGAGCTAAAGCCATCCTATTTTGTTAATCAATGAAAGAATAATAGAATTACATGATCATGAATGTACAAGGTAACAGATGACCATGGGACACACCCATAAAGTGGTAGCTGCATACCAGTAGCTTGCAACTAGCACATTATGAATGTGTCTCATGGTCATTTAGCATCAAATATAGCATAGCCATGAATACAGTAACCATAAAACAAGATAGGAAGAACAACATTAAGATTTGGCCCAGAGTTGGTCTCAGCCTTGTCCAATAGTTATTACATAAGCAGTATACAACCAAATGTTCCATACCAGGGTGAACAAACTGAGTTGTACAAGAAAGAACATGCGTGAATTAGGTCCTAGAGGTACCCCTACCTCCCACATAGCACTACAGATGGCATCCCTCCTATTGGACATGGCCTAGGAATCTTGAGACAGCAGCTCATGTACAGGTTGAGTATCATGCTGGCTGGGTGGCAACCAGTCCTCTATGGGTGTTGCGCCCGGTTTTCTGAAGAATACCAAGTGATATATGTGTGCTCAGGATGTCCACACGACACATATAGAGACAAATATGGAATTTATTAAAGACAATGCTTTATTATATGTCAAAACATATTTATATCAAGACTAGCTTCTATTACAAAGCACAATGGAAACTATTCTTAATCTTCTCTTTGGGTCTCCATAATCCATAGGGACGGTTGACTAGGGGAAACACTCACCTAGTACTCATGGACTCCGCAAGAAACTCTTCACTTGATCCACCATCTGGTACCCATCCGGGAATTTTTTTATTGGTGACAACGACAAGCGCCAGCTCACCATGCTCAGCAAGTATAACATGAGGTTATGCAAGGCTTAAGACGGCTCGACTCGGCTATACTGCGGTAAGCATTTTTAGTTGGTCATATTTTATTTATTAAACCTGAGTTACTAAGTTATGTTTAAGCTCCCAAGTGAATATAATTAATTATCATCAGGATTAATCATATCCTAAACCATCCATATAACCATCTATCTTGAAAAGGATTCAGGCCGCTCGTGTCTGTGAGCATGACTGATATATCAGTTTGATCAAACTCTGCAGAGTGTGTACACTTTCACCTTGAGTCTTGATTCCCATTTGCCCAAGAACCGTCGACCCCCTAACATTTTCAAGGTGAGTAGGCAGGGTCTCACTACGAAGCCTTTCACTGTTACCCTAACAAGTTAGTAGCCATGAGATTTTAGCAGCTAGGTGAATGGAGGCCTCCTTTAAGACTGGCACACCTTGACCGCAGTCTAGCACACATCTTGACAGACAAGAAGCCATTCTGCAACTTAGGCCCCCCTCTTGCGCCGAAAACTTTCGGTAACTACTAATAAGCTAGAGAAAACTAGCTATACGACTAAGATCAGAGCCATGTGATCCCCAAGGTTGTACGGACCTCCTTGGTGGCCACTTTAAGATTCAGTCCTTATGGAGAGCAGACTAGAGCACCAAAAAAGGCCCAATGCTCTAGCCCCTTTCTATCCATGTTGCTGAAAAGCATCATTTTAATCATTGATTCTATAAGTCATTAATCAGGATTAACATTATAGCATTTGGTGATTGCAAGCTAAGCAAAGCTACCCATATGCATGAACCCAGGGTAAACAAGGAGTATAGGGTATCAAAAGTACTAGGTAAAGTCCTTAGCATCATATTAGACACATGCATATGAAAGTGATTATAAGGTTATTAGGTAACAAGGGAACTCATGTTACACTTGCCTCTAATTGTTCGCTCCAACTTTCCAACTTTTCCTTCCAAACCATCATCGCATATCTTCTTCTATCGATAGCAACAACTGGCTCAAGCACCTGAAAATGACCCTAAAAACAATACACCAATCATTACAAAAACGATTCTCACACGAAGACGTGATTCTACGGTCGCGTGAGCGCAAAAACACCTAAAACGGGTTATGGCGAGCTTTTGAAGTTTTAGGGGTTAAATCATAAAATTGACAATTTAAATAAACTAAATATTTTTGGAACAATAAATTTAAGCCACAAAAAGGAATTATGGTGAGATATCAAGGGCTAGCAACAAGGATGACAACGAGATGTAGAACAATAAAAGGAATGTGAGTTAGATTGCTAAAGGGATATTTATATAGGAATATTGGAATTGTATTTGTGAAGGAAAAAGAATATACACATATGTGACAACAACATGATGAAATATCGACATAAGCAAGATATATGCAGAACATGAACTTTTCATCAGCGATTGGTTTAGATTTATTGAAAGGAGGTATTATCTAATAACAGGATTGGAATTTGTTTTAGAAGTGACAGAGAACAAGGTGCAGACAACAATAATATATGTTGTAAGCTGACATCATCAAGGGGTTATACCATGCAACACAGATCATGTAGATGTGCGTACAGGTTCCATATGCTTGCTTGTGAGTTGCGTCAGCATGCATGAGTTAGGCTTAGAAATTGATAATCTAATTGGTGATTTTGGCATGGGAAGAAGCTAGCAAAGAAATTATGCATGCCGACAGGAAGTGGCGCACAAAGCAAAATGAAAAGATTGCTAGGTAGGTAACCTTCTCACCTTGGGTCTCCAAACACCAGAGAAGGAGGCAAATAAAATGATTGTAACATGACAATCTTGTTGCCGACGGAAACGAGTGCTTCAGACACACTGCTGATGATCCATATATAGTGCACGACGCAGAATGATCATGCCGATCATTGATATATTCAAAGAGGAAAAGGATTAGTATGCTGCTGCGATAGGAGATGATGGTATATTAGAGAAAATCCTCACCAGATCTGGTGAACAGCAAGGTGAACGGCAACTCGATGGGGGCACAAATGAACGGCAGCGGCGTCAGCACTAGAACTCGAATGACGATGCAGTTGCCAAGGAATAGAAGCTGTGCGGGAGGGCTATCCGGAGCAGCGGCGTGAGATGGAGGGAGGGACTGGGCACTATTTATAGATGGGGCTCACACCCAGTTTTAAAGATAAAACTAAGAATTAACTATATGTGTACATAGAAAGTCAAATCATACATATAGCGATAAATTACAATAGTATCAAAAGACAATGCTTTATTATATAACAAAATATACTCATATTTAATACTTACATCAGAGTATCGTGGATCGGTAGCTAATCTTCAGGCTCCATCCTTCACAAGGACGGTTAACTGGGGTAACATATGCCTAGCACTTCTATCAGTCTTCTAAGAACTTCGTAACTCCATCAATTTTTGGAGCAACTTTTTTAAAGTCTGAGGGTGTGGGGAAATAGTAAGGGTGAGCACATGTCGTACTTGACAAATATAACATGGGGTTCATGAGGCTCAAAAGGTTGACACTGGTTTACTGCGATTAGCTTTTAATGAGTCATCTTTTAGTAATTGAGTAGCAACAAGTTCATCATAGTCCATATAAACATATGATCAGGTAAACATGACTAAAAAATAGCATAAACAATTAACCATTAATGATCATCTATTCCGTAAGAGTTTCAAGGCCGCTCGTGACCGTGAACACGACTGATATACCAGTTTTACACTCTGCAGAGGTTGTACACTTTCACCATGAGCCGTGATTTACCCTTTCGCCCGAGGTAGCTAGCCTCTTGATCCACAACCTAGGAAGATCGGCAGGGTTCACTATAAAGTCTTTCAAATGTTCGTCTAATAAATTAGTGCCGCTAGGTTTTTGTGCCCTACGAATGTACAACCCCTTTCGAAAGGCACATTCACGCAGAAGTACTCTTAGGAACAGAGGCCGCACTACACCCAACCCGAAATACACTCCTCTTGCGCCATAAAGGTAACCACTAATAAGCTAGAAAAGATCCTCATACTTGACTAAAGCCAGAGCCATATAGCACTCATGGATGTATTGTAAGTCCCGATAACCACTTACAGATAAGTCCTTAGGGAGAGGAATCTAGAGCATCACAAAAACTATGCTCTAGCCCCTTATTCCTTGTTGCTAAAAAGCAACTTTTAGTGTTTATTGCATATTCCATTAGTCAAGTTACAAGGCGATGTTTTCTGTTGAGCATTAGCATCATACTACCCAATGCAAATCCAAGATATTAAAAAGCTAGAAAAATTACTACGGGTTGCCAAGGTAGACACATGCATATGGCTCCTCTTGCCTGAGAGAAAGGGACTTCTTTCTACAGCCAAAGCCAAGCGCAGACGGCATATGAAAACCTGTCTTTAAACCCTAGGAAAGACACTCAATCATAAGATTTCCAATGAAAGGAAAACTCGTCAGAACCCAGGCTTTGCAACCTTTCGAAATCGAGAAATTGCGACAGGAGCGGGTGCTATTAGAGAACAATTAGCGGATTTGGATTTGCTAATTATTATAGAGAATTCCATGGTGGAATGGAAGGAATTAGAAGACGAGCGGTATAGTGGAGATGAATGGGAAGGGATGGTAGGAACAAGGTAGGGCTTCGGCTCTTCTTTATCGATAGTCTTTCTTGCTATAGGTAATGTCTTGACTTCGTTGATGGTTGCAGGAACTGCTTCAGTTTCACTAAGGAACTGAACTGCTATCCTCAGCATCTCTATCGCCACCGCCGAACACTTTGGCACCGAAGCATCACGCGAAAGGACTAGGAGAGGCCAACAACCGGCGACCCCCCCCATCGACCAACTGCTCTTTCTTGCCAATCTACTTTAGATTTATTAATACTTTCATTGCGGGACCTATCCCCGAACAACCATTGCTTTCCTTCCGCGGTTTCTTTCGTTTCTTCTTGATTTGATTGAAGTTTAGGGAATTGGATGGACTGGTGGCTTTGGATATTATTTGTCCTACTTATGATCTTCCAATTGAACACACTAGTATTTTATGGATTCTTTCCCGGTAGTGTGGTCATCTCCAAAAGGGATGATACATATTTCTCTGTCCTAGGATGCGCCGTTCTTGATAAGCTTATCCGCTTCCTTTCGCCAGTAGTGTGAATCTTCTCGAAAGCGCACAACATAGTCCAGTCAGTGTAGCCAGG